TCCACGTTAGTCTTCGGTCTAAGATACAGCCAAGATACCGAACTGTGTCTGAAAAAGGAAGCTAGATGGAATTAAAGTGGACTGATGGACAGGATCTGCGCCGGAGTGTGAAGGTAATGTGTTTGCATTTAGATTAGTTTACTTTGATACGGCATTTATTACACCAGTGCTTAATTAGGGCGAGGTGCCTTTGCAGATTTAAAGATGCTATTTCGGGATCTGTGTTGGATGATAGTGTAGCGGCACCAGATTCCCGCTCTTGCTACAGGGGAAACATAGTTGAATATTTATATTCAAATAACCAACCCGCTACCAGGAAGCGCCATACAAGCTCGCCCGACAATGTATCAAAAATTGTATTTTTATTTCTTTTTCTTTTTTTTTTCTTTTTTTTTACGAACAGGCCTTAAAGAACACGCGAATATCACGAATTTAATGCTTCCTCTTCATCTGCCTCCTCTTCTCTCAGATACCCCTCATGAGCTCCGCGTGCTTACGTTTTCTCTCATCAGACTAAGCAGCACCCTTTTCGGAGCGTTTCTTTCCCGCAAGAACCGTTATTCCCTTGAGCGCCTTCCTGTCCTCATCTCTATCCAAACAATCTTGGTCTCTTATCCCCATTTGGTCCATATCATCCTTAACATGTTTGAAATACCCGCTTAAATTTTAATGACTGTGGATTCACTGAAAAAATTTATGGTTAAGTCTTTCAGGATTCATCTTCATCATGTGGCCATAGAACCTCAGTCTTCCCACCCTAGCGTCAATTTCTAGATCTGTTGTTTCCTTATATATTTCTTCATTTGACCTCAACCTGTATCCTTCAGGTGTTCTCCTAGTTCCGTGGATTCTTCTGAGAATTCTTCTTTCTATTTTCAGAAGGCTCTCTAGGCTGGGAAGACAAGAAGTTTCTGTTGCGTAGAGTACCACTGGCTTGAAGACCGTGTTATAATATCGTATCCTAGCTTTTAGAGACAAGTTCTTCTTTTTAGAAAGATTACTGGTGGCGAAGCTTAATTTATCTATTTTGGCGATTCTTTCCTTAAACCCTTCTCTCTCTGAACCATTGCTGCATATGATTTCTCCAAGGTATTTAAATCTCAGAGTTACTTTAATCGTTCCGTATTTGGTTTCAATTGTTTTCCTCTTAAAATTTGCGTCCGTCGTCATCAATCCCGTCTTCTCAAAAGATATCTATATGCCTGTTTTCCTCGCTATTTCCGAGAGGGTGTTTTTTTGGGCAATCGCCTCTTCTTCTGTTTCTGATAAAAGGGCAACGTCGTCTACGTATGCGAGGCATCCAATTTTGACGTTATTGTTCTTAGTCCCTAGGGTTGCACCTGAATTGTTGATTTTCATAGTTCCTTTATGATCTTGTCGAGTACCTCGTTAAACAGTATTGGAGACAACCTGTCTCCCTGCCTGAGTCCCGTTTTGATCTGTAATGGTTCACTGATATCTCCTAGGAATTTAACTTTAGATTCAGTCCCTGTCATCTTTAGCACTATCAATTTTCTAGGTTTTTGATCAACTCCGTATTCTTTTAGTACTTCAACTGTTTTCCTATCTACCGAATCATGCGCCGTTTTTAAAATCGACGAAAGAGATAAAAAGGTTCTTTTTACTTTTAGTCCTGTAGTGTTTGATTAATAGCTCAAGGCTCAAAATTTGTTCCTGACATTACCTATGTTTTCTAAAACCTTGGTACTCCCCAATTTTAGAGTCTACTTTTGGATAGAGTCTGTTTAGTAAAGCCTTTGAGAATCTTGTAGGTGACCGATAGTAGGGAGATTCCCCTGTAGTTATTCACATCAGTTTTATCTCCCTTTTTATGTAGTGGGTGTATTAAGGCTGTTTTCCAGTCTTGGGGAATCTTTTCCTCGCTCCAGATATCCATCATCAGCTCCATGATTATCCTTCTGAAGTCATCTCCAGTCGGTTTCCACATCTCAGCAAGCATACCGTCATCTCCTGTCGCTTTGTTGTTCTTTAAGGATGCGATGATTTCATCCAGTTTTTAATCATCTGATGGATACGATTCTGCTTCAGGAGGGAGGGGTGTTTTATCGATCGTTGTCATTCTTTCCTGAGGTTCTTCACAGTTCAACAGTTCCTCAAAATACTTCGCAAAGATATTACAGTTTTCCTCACTGGTCTTGCTAGAGTTACATCCTTTCTCCTCAATATCAGCCCGGATGCCGTGAAACCCTTGATTTTCTGTTTGCAACCTTTGTAGAAGAGGCTGGAGTTGTTCCTCTTGAAGTTCGTCTCTATTTCAGATAGTTGGTTATTGAGGAACTTTCTTCTTCTTTCCCTCAGGTGAGCGAGCTTTCTTTCTATTATGTATTTTTTGTGGCTTTCCTCCGTTTTGTTCTGATTCTACTTTTTCCACGCCTCGAACATGTTCTGGATTGCCTCCTGGCGCTCGATGTTCCAACGTTCCTTTCTCTTAGATTTTTCTCCTGGAGCCAGCTTTTCTGCCAAGTCCACCATGTTCTTGGTGGCTTCCTCCCAGTTCTGTGGGAATCCAGAAGTTTTTCCTAAACGCTTCCCCGTTATTTTTGGCCAGGTTTTCCCTGTCTATTTATCTTATTTTAATACCTTTCCCGAAATTATGCTTCTTCGTGGGAATCATCTTAATTTTGATTTGTGACGGGTAGTGATCTGACGTTACGTTCATAGCCTTTCTTACTTTAACGTTCTGGATTTCTCTATAGGACTTACTGGAAATGGCAACGTGATCTAACTGAAATTCCCCAAGATGGTTGGTCGGGGAGACCCATGTCTTTTTCTTGCTGGCTTTCGCTTTGAAATAGGTCGACATGATTTTTAAGTCGGCTTTTTGACATATTCCGATTATTCTCTCGCCATTCCTGTTCGTCCTATTTTGTGCCGGGTGTTTCCCCACTGTTTTCCTGTATTTCCTTTCTTTGCCTATTTGCGCGTTGAAATCTCCCAGTAGAATCTTTACATATTTTCGCGGTATTTTGCTTAAGATCTGTTCCAGGTTTCCCCAAAACGCCTCTACTTTCTCCGGGTTTTTCTTGTTGTCTACATTTATCGGTACGTGTGCATTGATCAGAGCACATCTTATGTTTCCAGCTTTAAGGGTGATTGTGGAAAATCTCGAACTATTGCTACTCGACGACCGATCCCAACAGATCCTTCCTAACCATAAAACCCGTTCCCAGGTGAGGTATGTTCTTAATGAAGCGTTGTCCTACTTTTCCTTTGAAGATCATGTATCCCTCGTAATCAGTGGCTTCCGTGTCCATGCATCTGGTTTCTTGCAATGTCATAATCGATATGTTTAACCGTTTAAGTTCTGATGCAAGCTGTCTTAGCTTTCCCACTTGTAATAATGAATTTATGTTGTAAGTTCCGAAAAAATACTTCTTCTTGAGTCTAACTTTGTGCCCTGCTGTCTGTTGATGTCGAAGATCCTTGTGGTGCTCCAATACACCATCTTGCTTCCCACTGTCAGACACCCTGGAATCCGAATGCTCGGCTTTGTCTTCAGGATAGTTGTTTTCGTGTGAAGTTTAGTTCATGATATTGTTCCATGTTTTGGGTCGGGTTGCCCCCGACGAGATACAACTGAGGTAGTTAGCCCCAGAGGGTTTCGTTTTAGTTCCTCTACACCTAGCCTTTATCGGTGTAGGTTAATCCAGCCGTACAACGAGGAGGCACGCATTCCTGTGAGCTTTAGATGGAAAGGAAAAGGCGCTCTTAGGAATGCCGAAATATCAACGGCCTTTATTTCTTATTGTTAATGATAAAAACACTCCAATTGTAAATTGAAATATGTATTTACATGGTAAATACTTTTTATTAATAAAGTTAAATGGCAATAACATATACTGAACAAAGCTTTAAAATAAGTGTGATTGTAACGGCTCTTGATAGACGGTTTAGTCTTGGCGGAACGAACACCGCAGTCCAGTCTCAATGTTGTTAGGTCTTCGGATATCCACCGCTTTGGGGTGTAGACTTTTACGCAGTTGGCCAGTGTATGAATCGTACACTCCTTTTGGTCTTACACAAACTGCTTATTATTTCTCAGTATCCAAAAACCTTTGTCTTCTTCTGTTACTCCATGCAAGTTGGACGCTGATCTGTCCGCTTGTAATCCTATATACTAAGTCAGCAGATTGATCACTCCGTTAGTACTTCATCCTCCCACAACCCGGAGATTGATCCCTCCATCAATCCATAGAGGATTGTCGTGAAGAGAGAGGGAAGTAAGTAGAAGTTGAAGGATTGGGATTTGAAGGTGGCCAATTCATACTTTAATCGTTAAATAGTGAAATAATTATAAGAGCGGCGATCGGTGGGGTGTCTTGAACGTTGCCATAATATTCTAGCACGGCGTTTGATGTGAATTAGGTCTAGCAGGTATTGAGGTAAATTATTTTTCTTAGGAATTGTTGAGGAGAGATTTGGGGGGGGGGAGCAGTACAGATTACTTGCTGAATAGTGGTGGTAAAGGAATGTACGGCATTATCGAGGTATCCTGGATTTTCAGGGTTATTCTAATGTCAATTTTATCTGAAAGGATATGATGAAAGTGTTTCCAGTTAACTGGGCCTTTGATTAAGGATGGTGAAGGAGGTTTAGGAATATGAGTTATTGATAATTGAAGTATTAATGGACTATGATCTGAGGAAAGTTCGTCAAGACGGGTAAGGGAATGAGTGAGGGGACCTAAACCCTCACACTGTGTTACTAACCCTTTAATTCCAGGTTAACGCTTATGCTGGCTTGGGAATTTTCTGAAGTTTTTTGTGGTAGTACATCGGCCATCCTGCAATAAGAGAATAGAGGGAGCACAGAGGGAGAGAGAATAGGCAGGAGTTGGTGGATTATTATCTGAAGGCGGCTAATTCCAGTTTTAAAGAATATCATTGATGTCATCGTAAATTCCATTCCATTGCTGAGATACTGCGTTGAGTTTTGGTTGTAAATAAACTATATTCATTAACAATTATTTTGTTTTCCAGGTAGTGCTGTTTCTGACATCGGAGCTGTTTTACCAAAGAGCTATCAAAAGGTTCCAGGTCCTAGACCTCTTCCGCTATTGGGTAACAACTGGCGTTTTCTTCCTTACATAGGTAACTATAATTAAATATAATTAAAACTTGTTTCAGGTTGATCAGAAAACAAAAATATATACATAGGATAAAGTAACTACACTCAGTGTCAAAATTTTAGACACACTTCAAAAAATCCCTCCCATCTTTTTAAATTACCCGTAAAATAGTATTAACATAATACTAACAAATCCTCTTACACATGTTTATATCCAACTGAGTTTACTCTTGATGAATCAAATACCAAATTTTCTTTCTTTTTGTAATCAATTGATGCCCAAACCATAACTTTTCCTCCTCCTTTTACGCCTTGATAAAATATTTTCTTAAGTCATGAAAATAATAATAAAATCTATCTGGCCCATCCAAATTGAATTTTTTTTTCATTGCTAAAGATGACTTTCTTCCTCTTCTCAGTCCATGACATCACATTACGAGTTAAGACCATCCGGGCTAATTTGTGACGGGCACTCACAACTGAACTGGGTTTCTTTTCAAACTATTGTTTTTTACTTTTTTAATAATCTTTGGACATTCCTTAGTTTTGTTTGAACTCTAGCTTCCTCAACAATTGCTCTTGCTGTTTTACAAGAATTGGATGCGATTCGAAGAATATTCCGTTTCTCTCGTAATGTCAAAGAAGGGAGCCTCTTGTCTTCCCGTGCTGAATAAACTTCGCGACCGATTAAAAACTCCGCTTGATTCGGCGGGCTATTTCCCTATAACTCATCCCGTCCTTGTGGAGCAAAGAAATCAAACGGCGTTCTTCTTCAGAGAAACACTTATTTTTTCCCATAGCTCACATTCTTTTTAGGTCTATTTTGAAACATATTCAACACTGCACAAGTAGAAATGGTATTTTAACGATTTCAACTCTAGAGGATTGAAAAAATAGTAAACAAGTGTGTCTATCATTTTGACGCTCAATTTCATATAGGTAGTTAGTTTCTTTCTTTCTTCCGAAGTAATCATCCTAATATATACATACAAAAAACAATCTTTTGGCTGAAGCCCACCCAAAATGAAATCCTGGATCCGTTAGTGCTAAGGAGAATTCTGATCATTTCCCTTCAGAATTGAAAGTTGACTCTGGATCTATCGTAAATATAAAAAATAATACGTATAAACTTTATAAAATGGGGTAATAATATATCTGAAATATTTAAAATTAGGTTACTGATTTCTCCATTAATCACAGTGAACGTTGAAACCAGTACGGTTGAAGAATTATACATAAATGTTATATCCGCTGTTCAGAACATCTAAGGAAATTAATATAATTAAATGTTAAACAGAATTTAACAAAAGGGGCATTTATAGGAATAAATCTTGGTATGATAATGAATGCAAGGCACTTAAGAATTAGCTGAAAAATGTTTTGCAATATGTAAGAAATATAATTTTAAGGATGATTTCTTATTTATTTTTTTTAAATTGAAAAAACAATATAAAAATTTCGTAAAAATGAAAAAAAAATAAAGTATAATTTAAATATTGAAACTCTCGGAACAAGTAACCATAGCTCAATCTTATGGAGTATCATAAAACGATTTAGGGGCAACACCATTTCCAGACCTAGCATTTCCATAGAGGAGTGGGAGAAGTTTTTTAGAACGATGTATCCACCTGGATTGACATCTAATAAATTTTTCATCAATGTTCATTTATGAATTACCGTGTAGGGTCCGCTTAACTTCCCAATCGTTCTCAGACAGGGTTTAGTGCCTTTTCAAAAGAAGGTGGCTATTTCATATATGATTAGTTTATGTTAATTAAATGAAACAATTACTTGATGAATGTTTAGTGGTTGATGACCATTGTTGGATGATTTGAGGTGTTGTCGGCGGTACAGGGAAAACTTCCAGATTTTTAATTTCAGGTGGTTCTGTGTTACTTTTCTGAACAAGGTTCTGGCTTCTTACTGCTATATTATGGCATCTTTGCTTGTGGAGACTTTTATAAATCTCACAGCCTCTGTAGCTCGCAGGGTGTGCTTCACCACAAAGAGCAGGTTCGTGCCTTGGTTTCTGACAAGTGTCTGATGCGTGTGAACCTGCACATTTCACACATCTGGCCTCGTGAAAGCAGTAGGCTTTGGTATGTCCCAGATTTTGACAATTTGTGCACTGCACTACTATATGCTTCTGTATAGGTTCCTCAAAACGGACTGTTGAGTATACTAATCTCGTTATCTGAAATATTTCGGAATTGTTTTTTGCTTGTTCCAGATCCACGAAAAATAGTGGTAACGGATATTTTTTCCTAGGTTGTAATGGGGGTGTAATATTTCTGACACTGTGGCCTATTTCTTCCAATCCGATTTTTATAGCGTTTGTGGTGGTACTTGAATTCAGACCTCTCAAGATTACTCTATTCGCTTTTTCCTGTCTGAGTTGGTAGCAGTGGAATTGGTATTTTCTTGATGTAAAATGCTCGATGAATGTTTTATAGTTTTCTTTAGAGTTAGTGTTAATTTTTATATCATTAACTCTTGAGACACATCGAAAATTAGGCTGTCCTATCAAGTGAGCAATTTCTTGCCCGAAGGACATAAAATTCTCAATTTTTGATACAAAAAATAGATGGCGATTCTGGATCCGAAAATGTTTTTGGCTCCTAAGTTTTATTTGATGAAATATTAGTAGTAACAGAATTACTGATTGAGGTGGATGGTGGAACTGTTTATAATTTGTTGGCTGCAGTGGTTTTACTGCGGGTGTTTTGTGTAGCTTTGCTATTTTCAGATTTTTTCTTTTTATTTGGTAGCTTTATTTTTTTTCTTAGTAGGTGAGTTACCCACCTATCCAGAGGCAAAATTTCGATTGCGCTTTTGGAGTGTCGTTCTTTTTAAATATTGCGAATCTGTCTCGCTTATTTCGGAAAATGAGGTCTCTTCCTCTGATTCATCACCCGACGTATTATCAAGATCCATGATAACAAAATAATTAAAAGTCTATAAAAGTTATAATGGAATAAAATAAAACATTTCTCAATGTACATAAATAAATAAAATTAAAAGTCTTAGAATAAAAATAATTAAATTAAAAAAAAAAAAAATCTTATTTCTTAGATACGAATTCGATATCACTCGAAGGAAGGTGTGTTGGTACCAGGCGTTGACCGTGAATCTATCTTGATAAGGTAAGACCCGCAAAGGGAATTATCGGCCAGCTGAGCTGTTTCTACCGAACGTATATCAATTAAATAGTCAACATAATTTTTAATAAATGTCTCTCACCTCTATATTTTAATGTGAAATCCACATCCTGATATCCTTAATCCAAATTAGCTTGAATTTATTGAAGCAGAACACGATATTCGACTCCAAATGACTCCTCCTCCTAAAGCATTCCATCCTTCAGAAATATCCAATATTATTCACAGATTACCCTCCCGCAAAGCACCTCGCCACGACCTAATCACATCCCATATCCTTAAATTACTTCCTCGAAAAGCTCTTCTATTCCTTACTTACATATATAACGCCGTACTCCGTTCCACATATTTTCCTGACTCTTGGACTATCTCTAGTCAAAATAATACATAAACCCAAAAAGCCACCAGAATACCCATCCCGAAATCAGAATACTTACCGTCCCCTTACCTATTTTCTTATCATCAGTTCCTACCTTACTGATAGATACATCAAAGGAAATCACAATAATACCTATTCATCCCTCTTTTCTCAATCTTCCGGTGTTTGTCAAGGTATTAGTATCCTTGGTTCTATCCTTTACACAGTTTATACAGCAGATATCCCAACCCATCCTAACACTGTCATCACCACGTATGCTAATGACACATGCATCCTATCAGTTAATAATATCCATCAATTGCATCCCAAACTCTTCAATCACATATCACAAACCTTGAAGACTGGTGTCAAAACTGGAGGAATAAAATAAATCCCAATGAATCCCATCAAATCACCTTTACGCTTCGTCGCAAACCTATGACTTCCTGTCCTACAGTATCCTTCAATAATACACCATTTATTCCTGTTGAACAAATCCGCTACTTAGGACTCCACTTGGATAAAAGTCTTACTTGGAATCCTCATACTAGACTCAAACGATAAGAAACTGCTCGACGTTTCCGACTACTCCCACACTTACTAGACAAACGCTTTAAACTTTCAATTAATTACAAAAGACTTATCTACATAACTATAATAAGACCTATTTGGACTTACGGAGTTGAGCTATGGAACTTCACTAAACCATCGAATTTCTTTCGCATCCAATCCTTACAATCCAAAATCCTCAATGCTCCTTACTTTGTCACAAATAAAATAATCCATAAAGATCTTAATGTTCCATATGTTTCTGATTTGGCCCAATCCAGATACCTGTCCTTTCATAATAAACTTCATAACAATCCTGATCCACTTGTTTCTAGCTTTGATTCCTCTTCGATTGCTGATAACCCTCCGAGGCGTCTGAAAAGAAGATGGCCTCATGATCTCCTTATGTAGACATATTATTAGAATACTACCAATGGGTAGTTTCTCAACGACCATTTTCATGTGATTATATTCCTCTGTACACATTCACTTGATGTATTTATAATAATACAGTTGTGAATATAATAAATTTAAAAAATAAATAAAAAAAGTTTAAGATCAGTGGTGTTATCGAATATGATGGAGTTATTCTATTATTGTTATTTTATCTTCTCTTTCGAATGAAAAAAAATCTTAAAATAGAAAGGATTTCATACTATCGAATCTTGTGACCTTGGAATTGAATAAAGAATTTTGAAATTAAGGACATCAAACCGGTACTGATGTTCGAAATTAAGTGAACTATCTATGAGACTATCAAGAAAGTGCTTTAAAATTAAGTTTTCAGTACTCCTTGTTCGTTTTTTAATGAAATAGAACATCGTTGTTTTGCTTTTTTATATTTTTTAGTTTTATACCATTAATAATGTGGTTTTTGATAATTATTATAAGGTTTTGTATAATATAGTGGAATGTATTTCAAGGACAGTATAAGCTGGAAGAGATAGACAAACTTAGCCTAATGCTGCGATCGAGGTATGGTCGCATAGTGAGGATATCAAACCTGTTAGGGAGGCCCGACATGGTCTTTCTATATGATCCTAATGAGATAGAGAAGGTGTTCCGGGGAGAGGATACGCTTCCATATCGCCCATCCATGCCCTCGCTCGACTACTACAAACATCAGCTTAGAAAAGATTTCTTTTCGGATATTGGAGGAGTTATTGCAACGTGAGTAAATACTGTATCCAATTATTAATGTTTATATAATTGATATTTATTATTGCTTTGGAATATATCCTTATACAATAGATTACAATTTAATACAACTTTTTTATATTAAAAAAATACTGTTCATTTACAAGGAAAAAACACTATAATCGAACCTATATAGTGCCCGTCCTTCCCCCATAAAATATTGTTGTTATTTTCAGTTCCATGATTAATATGTATCTTTATGAGATGTTATTTTAATGTTAGTTTAAAAGGCAGTATATATAATATTATTTAGTTTTTCGAGGATATTAAAGACATAATACATTAGGAAATTACAATCAGTAATAGTCACATAGGACCCACATTTGGAAGATCACCGGACGTGGAATGTGAACAAGAAGATGAAGGCCGAATAGACTATAAATATAGTTACCGCTCATTTCTCTGTCCATCCCGATTCCCGGAATCAGAAACTTAATCTCGTTGAAGGTGATAAGTAACTTTGATGGGATTTTAGAATTTTTTTCATTGATATTACACAGCAAGTTGTCACGTGCAGAATGGGAGGACAGGTAGAAATTAATCATTGGAATCTATAGGTGGTTCATTTCAGCTTTAATTGTTTTCAGCAATAGTTGTAGGGGCTGCGGTCTGCTGGATATATGGTACGTTGCCATAATGATATGGCATTGTGTTATAATGCATCTGTCCAGTAGATGTCGAGGTAAAGTATTTTCATCAAGAATTCTGGAGGACTCTATTGGGGAGGAATTAGGAGGGAGGAGTTTGTTGGATAACACTAGTAAAGGCAGAGGCGCAGACTTTCGATTTTGATTGAGGGGGGGGGGGTCATGGACTAAAAAAAAAAATAGCAGGAGTTTTTATTTGTACAAACTCAACATAATTATTGTGCAACGAACAAATACAATATTAAATATTCACAATATGTTTATATGTTTGTATAATTTTAAGGTTTTTTTTTTTGTTTTACTTATTATATATACTTGAAAATACCTAAAAAAAAAAAATACAATTGAATATATAACGTATTTGTTTAGATTAAACACAGGAGGGAGGAGAAACAACCTTCATAACATTTTTTTGTACATTTCTAGAACTTTTTCAGCTAAAAATGAATGAGGTAAAAAATATTTATGGTATATAATACATATGGTACAGCAGATATATTACCATAAAAGATTACCTTACTAGCATGTGGAGGTAGTAGAGGTCCACTTTGAAGAAAAACAACTCCTTGGGAAAGGATAATATCAACATCTACCTAAAGTAAACGAATCACTAACAGAAAAAAAGAGCAAATACCTAAAAGGGCAAAATATAGAAGAAAATAGAGGAATGTGAAAAGGGTACCAGGACGAAATTCAACCAGATTCATAAAATCTACGAATTTCACATCGGAGATAAGGTTCTGATACGGACCTTGCCTACGATTACCGACCCTACTAAGCAGACTGTGAAACTTCTGAAACTATTTGATTGTCCCTATTCATTCAAAAGTACGGTACAACCACATACAAATTGGCAAGGGTTGATAACATACCAAATTGGAGGGAGAGAACAGAGGAAGAGCTAAAGATTAATACCAGTGGCACATTCCATGGATCTCTTCTTCAGCTAGTTCTTCAATAGGAGCAGATTAGATGCTGCCGTAATCTCAGAGCGAAACAATACGGTGACTGCAATCCAATGGAATATTGTATAAATCATGTTTATATTAGTCAAGTGGTAGGTATTTAGGAGAATTTAATCCATTGTAGGTCGATAAACTCATGTAAATATTATATTTTCTTAATATCAGTATTATGTAAATCTGATGTTCATTATAGCTATAAGTTTTTAGGAAACCCGAAAAGTGACGTTAGAAACAAGAGTTAATTGGTCAGCCCATTTCGTAGGAATATGAGTTTCGCGACCTCTCCCTTCGAGCTAATTGTACATAAATTTTAAATTTGTAAATAGTCGTGCACTTAACCACGGATTAGATTAGTAAGTTTCTATAACAGATTATGGAAATAAGACTTTCTGATCATGAGACTAGTCTTTCCAAAAAATGAATTGAGAATGCTAGGAGGCAACAGGATAACAATATTGGAGAGGTAAAAGGTGAAAAACCTCTTAGAAACCAAAAATAATTATTTTTTCATAAGATTACCACGCAAGGTAGTTATACTGAATGAATATTATACTTTGTGTTTTTTATCGGTAGTATATCAAAAGATTTTCAGAAAGTGAAACAGAAAAATAATTTGAATTCCTTTAAATGCTTAAATAGAAGTTGTTGTAAATAGTGCAAATATAAGGTGAATGTTAGGAATTCAAGGAAAGATATTATAAAATGTAGTGCAAATGATTTCACATTGTAAGTAAACGAGGAATGAACATTGTTAAATGAAAAGTTCAACATTACTGTAATTAATATTACGAGTACCAAGTGCCGTGGCCGCAATTACAGTTCTATGCTTGCATCGCTCTGTCTTTGTTTCCTTTTCATCAGGTTAATGCTTCAATTACTGCTGCTATACAGTGTAAATAGTGTGCTTTTGTTCATTTGAACATTTTCACATTAAAATATTGAGGTGAGAGACGCTATTATTTAATTGATATACGTTCGGTAGAAACAGCTCAGCTTGCCGATAATTCCCTTTGCGGGTCTTACCTTATCAAGATAGATTCACGGTCAAGGCCTGGTACTAACACACCTTCCTTCGAGTGATATCGAGTTCATATCTAAGAAATAAGATTTTTTTTTTTAATTTAATTATTTTTATTCTGAGACTTTTAGTTTTATTTATTTTTGTACATTGAGAAATGTTTTATTTTATCTATAAATATTTTTGTAAATAGCTCAGTTCTAAGAATTAATATTTTTTATTTCCATTTTAATTCCATTATAACTTTTATAGACTTTTAGTTATTTTGTTATCATGGGTCTTGATAATACGTCGGGTGATGAATCGAAGGAAGAGACCCCATTTTCCGAAATAAGCGAGACAGATTCGCGATATTTAAAAAGAACGACACTCCAAAAGCGCAATCGAAATTCTGCCCCTGGATCGGCAGGTAACTCACCTACTAAGAAAAAAAATCTGGTGCGCGCATCACACAACTTTCACTTACCACTCTACTTTAAGTAGGAATTATTTTATGGCAAAAAAGAGCTATTACCAAGATTATTTTTAAATGAGCTAAATCTTAAATTACATTTTTTTTCGGTCATATTTAACTCCATCACTCTATTCGAATAACATAACTGAGCACTTAATACAAATATATATATATATATATATATATATATATATATATATATATATATATGATACAATAGGGAAAACTTTCTTTACCGATCGTCTTACCTCTTATATTTGCTTTTACATCATAAATCCTCTCGAGTTTATCATAAAATTCGCATTTGACTTCATCATCAAGGTCTTCGGTCAGACAGTGTATGTTAATTAACGCGATTTTAAACTAAGGTCCCTAAAATATTGCTACCGAAATTCTATCACTGACGAATCGGAGGGCCCTCAAACCGGGTAAAAATCTATTCTTAATTAGAAACCCGGTACCTAAACAATGATTTCCACGTCATTTGTCACGTCATTTGTACCAAATAGTGTACTTTCCTTCCCTTATCGTGCCTTCCCCTGGCCAGCGAACCTCTTGCAGGGCTACAATATCCAAATTGTACCCATTAACCCCGGTCGCCACCGATTTCAACCCACCTCATGAATTCAAGCTCTTTAAGTTCTACGTAACAATAACTCAATCCATATTTTTCAGCTTGTGCCATGAATCCCCTAAAGCATTCCCGAACTGGAGACCCGAACGAGGGACTAGGTTACCTCCGGATAATGAGCATTTTACCTTAAGGAGACCCATGACTATTTGTAGTGTATGGCGAACTAAAACTATGTGAGCAGGGCGTTCATTTCTACTTCATACCCTCCAGCAAGTCTGGAGGGCCGCCTCATTGTTGGTCAGCGAGTCCATCGGACTTAAGTCGAGAAGAACTTCCAAGGAATTTAACCGACCATCCCCACATCCGCCACCCGTGGGACGCTCCCCTACGCGGTAATGAGTCCGCGTGAGGATGTATATATATATATATATATATATATATGATATGTAGGATAGATGTTGATAGATTTTTCTTCATAATATATATATATATATATATATATATATATATATATATACAATGCATCTATCCTACATATCCCGAAAATGTATTGATCGTTTATATAATTTATAGCACAGCATAAATGGGTTTGTGGTCGGAGTAGTAGGTTTCATATACTCCTACAGCAGTTAGCTCATTATTGGAAAATACGACATCAATTTGTGTGTTATAATTTGTCGTTGATGTTTCATTGTCCAGGGCTGTTTGTAAATTAAATTTGTGTAGGAAGTTTGATAAGTAGCTGTTATATCCATTAAGTATATCAATGTTGCAATTGCCCATAAATATTACATGTTTATCGGTAGCGATGTTTTTAAAACTTTGCTCTACGGCTGCTTCGAACATTTGGTTGCTGGCACCTGGAGACTTGTAGCCACAAATTATTTTTAAATTACTTACGGAAAATGAGAGTATATCTATGTGGCCATTATCATTGTACTCGTGGACATGATGAACATTTTTAATTTGTTTGCCATATTTTACATAGACAGAGATACCTCTGCATTTATTTTTTGCCACATTCAGTCTTATCATTTCGGTGAAAAATTCAATTGGAACTTGGTCACTATCGGTACACAATGTTTCACTAAATATCAGTATATCTCCTCTCGTAAACCATTTATCGCTAGTGATACAATGAAGTTTAGACTTCAATGAATACACATTTTGGTATATGATCTTTAATCCATGAATTTCTTTTAAATTATCAAAACAGATAAGCATCATCTTGTCATTTCTCAATCTATTCATTTCAGAGATTATTGGATCATCTTTCTTTGGTGGATGAGAACTTTTAAATTTACCGAGTAAAAAT